AACAGAGTCAAAGCCGCGGGACGGGGGAAGATCAGTGATGAGGTCAACAGAGACCTGCTCAAAGGGGTGGGTAGCAATGGAGGGGATCGGCATCAGGGGCAGGGTGACGGGGTGAGTGTCGGATTTCATTTGCTGGCAGATGGCGCAACCGGCAACATAGTGCCAGATGTAGGTGCCCATACCGGGCCACCAATAAGCCTTCTTGACATGCCACTCGGTGACAGTGTGGCCAGGATGGCCCGCAGTAAGGTGATCATGGTGGAGAGCCAGAACTTTCCGGCGAAGATCGGCTGGGATGTAGGCCTGGTCTTTATAAAACAGTACACCATCGGTGAAGGCCCAATTGGAGAGGGTGGACTTGATGGGTGGCGCGCAGATGCCGCTCAAGGCCTGGAGGGCGGTCTGAATGGTGGAGTCAGGCGCAGACTCGGTAAGGGATTTAAACTGATGCGCGAGCACGCCATCAACTAGGCGGATGAAGAGGGAGTCCGGGAGTAGGGTAACATTGGTGTTATCAGGGTTGCTGACGACATGGTCTGGTTGTTGCGACAGGGCGTCAGGGGTGGCAAACTTCGCGCCAGGGACGTGGTGGAAGGTGAGGTCAAATTCACCAAGAGTAAGCTGCCACCGGGCTTGGTGACATGTCAATTGCTGCGCTGAGCGGAAGTAGAGGAGATTCTTATGGTCGGTGAAGACAATAACAGGGTGGGGGTTGCCTTCCAAGAAGTGTCTCCAACTTTTGAGCGTGCGTATGACAGCTAAGAGCTTGCGGTCGTAAATCTGATAATTTCATTCGGCGGCATTGAATGATTGGGACAAGTACCCGCAAGGGTGGTAAGCACCATTTTCATCGGTTTGTAATAACACAGCACCAGTGGTGAAGAGTGATGCATCAGTGGCAAGGGCAAATTGTCTGGTTGCGTCGGGATTGTGGAGCACAGGTTCTGTGAGGAAACTGTGTTTGAGTTTGTCAAAGGCGTTTTGGCACTGATCTGTCCAGTGAAAGGGTTGATCTTTCTTTGTTAGATCAATCATGGGTCGCGCGATATCCGAGTAATGGGTGATGAAGTGTCTGTAGAAGTTGCAGAATCCGAGGAATGATCGTATGTCTTTGACAGTGGTTGGCGTCTGCCACTGGCTGATGCCTTCCAATTTGGCAGTGTCCATTGCAACTTTGCCCGGGTGGATGATCATACCGAGGTATTCTACTTCTTGGGCGTCGAATGTACATTTCTCCGGTTTGAGGAATAATGTTTCAGTGCATAGTTTTTGCAGGATGATTTTCGTTCGGCTTTGGTTCTCCTCTAGCGTGTCTGAAAAGATAAGTATGTCATCCATGTAGACAATCAGCCATCCAGCGTCGATTTCTTGTTTAAACATTTCATTCATGTAGGCCTGGAATGTTGCAGGTGAGTTGCATAATCCGAAGAACATGACTTTTGGCTCGAACAGACCAAATGATGTGGAGAAGGCGGCCTTCCATCAATCGTCAGGGTGAATCAGGATATTATTATATCCAGACCGAATGTCCATTTTGGTGAAGTATTTGGCGTCTTTGAGCTTTGCGATCAAGGGGGGAATCAGTGGAAGTGGGTAAGCATTTTTGACCATCCAGTCATTGAGGTAGCAATAATCCTGGCAGGGGCGGAGGGTTCCCCCTTTCTTTCCCACAAAGAAGAAGCTGCTTGATTGTGGTGATGTAGATGGTTGGATAAAGTCTTTTGCGAGGTGTTCATCGAGAAAGGTTTTTACTGCTTCGGTTTCTTTTGGGGAGAGGGGGTACATTCAGGTAGATTTTGGTACAAATCCGGGTTTTGTTTTGATATGATGATCCACGAGGTGTTGGCTTGGGGGAAGTTGGTTTAATCCATCTTTGGTGAAGATATCCCGAAATTTGCGGAGGTACTCGGGAACGAGTTCTTCAAAAGTTTTCTTGACTTTTTCCTGGACATCCTTCATAGTGAATTCTTGTGCTTTGTTACTGGTTTTCTGGGCTTCCTCAAGTTGTTCATGCAGGGATTGGGCAAGGACCCAGGTGTTCCACAATGGTACTGGTCTGCTGAGTTTTCTGATTTCTTGATCGGATGTTCCATCCCGTACCAGCGGGGAATCAGTGTCTAGGTTTTTGATCATTCGGATGGTTGTACCATCAAATGAATATTCGACTAGGACTTCATCATCTTCCAGCTGGTAGGTGGAAACATTGGTGACTGGTTCAGCAAGATCAACTCATCCGAGCCAGGTGTCCTCGAAGTTGTCGAATATGGGGTCGGCCGGTTTATTCTTTTCTGCGGTTGCCTTCTTCTTTCGTCACTGTTTTTCCGCTATCTCTTCTAAAGCGTATTTTGAACCCTTGGGTAATTTCTTTAAAGGAGAGAAATCTTCAGGGGGTTCGTCAGTTACAGTTGCTTTTCAAAGTGGGGGAAACCTGTAAGGTTCTGCTCCGTTCACCTTTCTTTCATCATTGATCATTTGTTCGACTTCTGTTGATCGTCTTGTCCGTGTTAAAGAGATGGTATCGTTTTTCCAATCGATCTCTGGTTGCATGGTGGAAAGCCATGGCTTGCCGAGGAGGATGTCATCATTCCTGGATAGTTTCGTGATGTTGAATTTTCTGAGCATACATCGTTGGTCAATTTTGACTGCGAGGGTGCAGTAATGCGTTACCCTTCCTGCAGAAGAGTTGCTTCCATCAACTGTTCATATGTGGAAGGGGTTGGTGAGAGGGTAGGTGCTGATTTTATTTTTTCGGACGAAGAGGTGATCAATGAATGATCCTCCTGCTCCTGAGTCGATTATGGCGGTGGTGGCAATGGTTTTTGCATACTTGGTAGAAAAAAGCATGATGGGAATGCGGAATTCATTGGATTTTCCAACAGCTTTAGTATACAGTACACAAGTAGAAGGTGCTGACATTGCGACAGTCCTTCAGTTTAAAAATCCATTCCTTTGGCCACTGAAATCTTCTTGGCCCATATCTTGGCTACGGGCATTTCTTCATCGTCATCTTCATCATCGAGCTGGGTAATCCCAGACTGTCCCTTTTCCTCCTTCTCAGGCATGGTCTGCCTGCTTTTCAACACTCCTCGCTTAGGGTGGAACCTAGGGTCGTTGGCCCTATGTCCTGCTTTCTTGCAAGTGAAGCAGAGTCCATCTCTGAAGCATTTCTGCCTTTCTTCTTCATCCATGCGGTCAACGTCCATTGTGTTTGGGTCTTTGGCTTCTCTTTTGGGAGGGGTGTATTGGGGGTTCCCATTTCTCTTTTGGAATCCTCCGTTGTTTCGTCCTTCCCTAGCGGTGATGGCCAACAGCTGTTGGTGGTTGTTGTCTAGGTCAACTGCTTTCTTCGAGAATTTCTCGAACGTTTCAATGTTGCTGCTGTTGATCAGGAGCCTCCAGTGGAGTTTCTTGTCTAGGCCATCTAAAAAGAATTGGCAGAGTGCACCGTTATCAGTGATCCCTCCTCTTGTGGTGAGTTGTCTGAATGAGGCAAGGTATTCTCCAAGAGAATGGGTCTGCCTGAGATTCCTCATTTCCATAAGGGCTGCTCCCACAGAGTCTACTTCTTCAAATGCCTTTTTGAAATCTTTAATGAAATCATCGAGTTTGCCGTATTTTGCCATATTGGTTGCATCTTGGGCGTGTTCCATGAAGTCGTCTGCCCAGGTGGCGGCTGCTCCTTTTGTCATGTATGACAGGTAGAGGATGATTTTTTTCTTATCATCATCGTAGATCTTCTCATTGACATCAATGTAGGCAGTGATGGATCTTAGCCATCGTCCGGAATCTTTCCTATCTCCAGAGAATTCGGTAGGAGTACCGATCCGTATTTCTACGGGTTTGGCAGCAGTTCCTGATCCAGACATTGCTGGGTGGATAAGTGGGGGAGCGGGTGGTCTAGGTGGGGGGTTTGTTTTTCATGGAGGGGGAAGTGGACGAAAGTCTTCATATTCTGATTCAGCGTCTTCTGATGTGGATGATGGGTCTGATGGTGTGGGTGCTCTTTCCCAAGCGTGACGAGGTCTTCTCGACGCTATCTTTTCTGGTCAATAGTACGCTCCCACGGTGGAGAGACATTCAGGGTAGAAACTTGAATCTTATGTTATGAACTCAGTTGGTTCCGCACTAGATACCCACAAGGAGTACCGATCTAGTGTTGTGACGGGTTTTCAAGGTAAGACTACTAGACGGAAAGTCTAGTAGAAGATAGTGTAAATGTGATAGGAGCGGTGAGGCTTGCTATCTACCTTTCGTGCTATCCCTCTGTCCTGAGGCTTTAGGCGTGATGCTGAGTAGATTCAAGTTAAGGACTACTACAGTGTACGGAGTCCTTTATATACGAAAAGCAGGAGATACCGGTTGAACGGTAAGGGTCAAGGGTAGTACCGACAATGCAGTAAGGGCATAGGGTATGAGTCACAGATAACAGGTAAACCAGATAAGCAGTGCAAGAATGATCAGCCAGTATAGATAAGCCAAGAGAACGGAAAGATGGAAGTTGCTTTGACGACGGATAGCAGTGATGAAAGATAGGTAAAAGAGAATAAGCTGGTCCAAGGGGTTTATGTAATGTCCCTGTAACACCTGCCATCTTGGATACCTGCATGATTAGATAATCCAAGAGAGCCTCAACCTCCAGGGTGGTCCACTGCACTTTTGGTACAGATGATTTGCTTTCATTCTTTCTGGTCATAGACAGGAGTTGAAACTGGGTACAGACAATGAGAACAGCTACAGTTGCAAAGATGCACTTTTGCTGCAGAGGATCATATCGATGGCTAATAGTAGTAGGAATCATCATCATAGTTGGAGGGCAAGTGAATTCAAACTCTGACATGTCAGCTTTTGTGCCGCTCATGCACAATTTGTTTGGTTGGCTAAATTTTGTTCAAATGTCGGTTGCTGAACAGGCTCTTACTAAGTTGGTGCTTGACTCAGCCATACTTAGTCTAGCCACACTCCTTTTTCTAGTTCAAACCGAACCACACTGCTATGCACCAATGGCGAATAATCAGTTCATTGCCACAAAGGAGTGCCTACTAGATCATCATCACGTTGTGCTGATGACGACTGGCAGCGTAATATCTATTAAAACTCCTCTCATTGTCATAGAGCTTCTCCAAGTATGTCCCCCTTGCTGAGACCTCTGCTACTGCTCACGCAACATGCAAACGTAGTACTACTGGAATGTCAAAGTAGAGGTGATTGCGACAAAAGAGTTGCTTGCATTTTACAACCCTTCAGATGTGGTCAAGGCAGGTGGACGTGTATGGACGGACAAGGATGAGTGGTTGGTGGCTATATGCAGTTTCCAGATGAATTTTAACGTCTCAATGTCCATGAAAGGGATCATACAAGATCAGCGATCCAATCCTACATATCCAGTTGAGGAGATGGGCTGACATTGTCCTTGTTGCTCCCTGCTCAGCAAATACACTCTCAAAGATTGCATACAGACTTTGTGACAACCTCGCTGTATGGTTTGTGGCGCGTTTACATCGTATTCGATGATAATTTTCTTTCTTAGACCCCTCTTCTTCGTGCACTGGCACCTTCGACGCTGACTTACATATTCCCAGCAATGAAAACACTCATGTACAAACATCTACTCACGGCAGAACACGTGTGCATTGCCAGGGATGTTGTGCAGTACCAAGCTGTTGGGCCAATTGGAATCTTGCATGCAGGGAGGTTGGTATGTTATTTCGACTTTCTGTTTCCTGCTTTTGTGGATGACTTGGCGCGTTCTTGAAGGACTAGGTGCCATGACAGAATGGCGTGATATTGTGAAGATAGTGGTGGATCAAATGGAACTCGTCACCTTGCTTGCAAGGTCATATGAATAGTGACGAAATCTTCTGCCAATAATAAACATCAATAAATAATAAACAAGAGCGGTATGAACACAAAAAGGAGTCCATGAAATCTTTGTACTTTGTAAATGAAAGCAACTATGATGTCTAACAAACTGGAATGTGCTCTGAAACATCTCACTGTGGACGACATTGTTGCAACAGTTGGGAACGATACATGAAACATTGCGCGAGTGTACCCAAAATGAGTGATTTTTGGACACTAAATCCAAGATCCACCCAGATCCCATTAACCTATCAACATAAGAACTCCAACATATGTGAAATACACCATTCTGAATCTACTCCAGGTGTTTCTATGTCAATAGAACACCACCACAGCGTGCTATTCACGATTCATGAGCAAAGCGTGACAGTCAGGCTAGATTGGGAAATCACACTCTCGGCTTGGTTGAGTCTCCGCTTTGTTTGCATTCGCCAACACTGGACTTTCATTCGCTTTGCGCGCTGTCGGACTTTGGATATCATTGTGTATTGGCCGAGGTGCCGCGCGTGACATGGTGTGACGAAATTGTGCATTTCTATTGTGTTTTCGACATCTCAACTTCCAGTGCTGCCGCTGCAACAAGCTCGCAATAAAATAAAATAATTCTTGTTGGGCCTAATGCGCAGAGACCTAAGGTACACACTCCAGTAGATCCGATACGAATATGTGTTGTCGTTGTGTTGCTATTCAGCAATAAGTGAAAATTGTGCATTTCCCATCGAATGATAGTATCTATCCACAAAACTTATCTTTGTCTCTCCTCGCTATTCGACTCTCCAACCCGGACATCTTTCAATCTGTCGTGGTCCCCGAACTCTACACCTTTGCATCAATCCAGCTTCCAAACAGCGCCGTGGTCATATTACTTCTCCATAAACTGATTGCAAGATTTCTATCGCCAAAAAATCCATTCGAGCATCTTTTGTCCTCTCACTTAATGTACGCGATGGACTAACGGACGCTACACAAATATAGCAACAAGTCACCCCTCAACAGCCCTAAGCAACATCGACTTTGAACCATTTCACGGCACGATGCATACCAACGTCTTCTATCTGTCTACCTTAACTGACGAGAAACACAATCGCATGGATCGTCTGCTGCAAGGTGCGGTGCATGCATTCATAGGAGTCTTGATGACTTCTTTTTCATCGCAGAGGATCAGTTTCTCGTCTCCGTTGCCTAAGGGACTGTGGACATATGTTCCATTGCTGATAAGTCAACGCCCCTTCAATGCACCGCGAAATTCTCCTTACTTGTTCTCACTTTATGCTCAACGGTGTTCATGAGTGGAAATCTAACTCTCCTCTCCAAGTTTATTGTCATGACTCATGACTTACATACGACCAATCAATGAATGATGCTTGGTCGCTGTGAGGGCTGCAGTATACGATGTGGTTCCATGTTCGAACGAACGAGGACTAGTCTTCGCTCTATGATTTCCGAGCTGAGGAATCTATCAACAAAGGTCCTTCTGATTGCCACGCGAACCCCGTTGGCTACATATCATAGATTTCGACACACATTGATGGTAATTATGGCGCGCAGATAAATCAGGCGCGGTCGAGCTGAGCTGACCAGGACGATCCCGCACCTGTTTACGGAATCTCTGGAATCTGCACTATCGTTTCATGAGATCGACAACGAGGAGCTGTTTTATGCAGAGGAGACGATGATGGTCGAAAGTAGGATTCTGATACTGACGTGAGTCGCAACTTATTCTTGGTCCCACTGCTTACAACGAATTATGAAGTTGCAAGAGATTGACGTGTTGGGAGTCACGGAGAGCCATGTATACAAGTACTCCTCGCCACTTCTCACATTTGTAAACAACAACTCAAGCCAACTTCCGGTGAGATGTAGGATAAGCAAACGTTAGTATTGCAATATCGAACACCCACCCGTCATCTCATCTACCCACTGCTCTACGTGCCGTCACTGCCGGGAAGAAGGAAAAGACTTCAGTAGAGAGGACCGTACCTTTCAAGAATCAATACAGTACCACCCAACGGATTAGAAAATCAGACACGCGTCAGAAAATACTGCCGGTCTGTCTCGTGCTTCCAAGTTCCAAGTTCCTACTTCCAATCTACTGACACTATCTTCCATCCGCAATCTTCCTTTTGTACTCGCCTGTTCACCCCATACAGTCGTAATATTAGACCAACAAAGCGGCAGCAGGCACCTAGTGTATGACACAGGTAAGGGTTACTTACTCAGGTGGGTACTACCGCGGATGACTCCATCGAATGATTGACGTTGTTGGCGCCGCTGTTCGAATGCTTCGCTTCGTCAGTCAATCCCGGACAGTTCAAACATCTTCAGCACAGTATGTACAGCTCACGCAAGGACCATCGGGTCTTGATCAGATCTCACGCCTCTCAAAAAGCAGTAGATCCTATTATGTGAAAGGAATAGTAACTTGAATCTTCTCGATAGTTCATCTTAAAAAGTCTCAAGTGATGAGCTGCACACGTGCTATGGACAACACGTTCTTCCAATACGTCATCATTTATATTGATCTCTAGGTAGATCTTATGTGAGAGCGGATCGAGTAAGTATAGCAACAGGGATCTCCTTGATAGTGTCATCATCTCGGAAAGTATCGACTGCAGGAGCTGCAGCGCGGTCGCGCTGGCCAAGCACACGCGCAAGTTGCGAGTGTCAGTGTTGGATGAGAGGCATTTCCACGCGAGCCAAGGCCGCTGAGATGTGAAACGGCCCGCCCGGGGAGGCTTTCCTGATCGGACGACTGTAATCATCGGTTCGACTGGCATGCAGGAGTCAGCCTCAGGCACGGTGTATAAGTATACCAACCAACACACCCAGATCTGCCTTCTAGCGCTCAGAATCGGGAACGCATACTCTTTTTCTGTTGATCTGGCCAGGGAGACTCCTTTGCAGAAATTTGCCAAATGCTGCTAACAAGTTTACCTCCGCTGCGCAAAGGTAGTCATGCAACGCACTGCAAAAGATGCTTGTCCGGCTTGCCATCTTCCCAAGTGGATATTGATCCAGCCAAGTCCACAATTCAATGCCGATCTACACGGCAGTCATTCTAACGCGATTCTTACAGGCTGGCCCTATCCTTTTACTGCTTAGGCTCTCTGGATGTTTCTGATGAACTCGAAAAGAAGGCTAAGGATTGGGAAAGAGAACAATGGAGAGAATGGATATGGAGCCAACAGACTCGTAAGCCAATCCTGGCATACAAATTTGTTGGAGAACTGAGCACACTCACTAGGCGGACCTTATGGAACCGGCTTCCGATCGAGCTCTTATATGACTGCAGCAAAGTACGCGGTGAGAATTGGTCATTGCTTACATAGACAATCCATTGATTTCCAGTCTGAAGACAGAGGAATATTCGGACCATGATACCCCTCAGATCATCATGACTTATACTGCCCTTCTCTCGCTGTCCATATTGCGCGACAACTTTTCGCGTCTTGACAGGAAGGGCCTCCTGGAATTTCTTAGATCCTGTCAGAACAGCGATGGAAGGTAATTCCTACATTATCTCCAGTACTCCCCAGGCATAAATCAAGTGTCCCAGTTTTTCTTCTGAGCCTTTAGGAGGCGACTCTGATCTACGCACAACGTTCTGTGCCTTTTCTATAAGCATAATGCTTGACGACTGGTCAGGGATGGATGTTACAAGTGCTCTCCAGTTTATTTCTACGTGCCGGGTAAGCATGCGACAACATTATATCGGGGGTTGTTCTCACAGTCGCTCTCAAGACATACGAAGGAGGCTATGGACAATCACCGTTTGGGGAAGCCCTGGGTAGTGCGCCACGCCTTCTAACATGACAAAATCTCATCCATCTACCCTCCTTAGGTGGCACTACGTATTGCGCACTTGCATCACTCCAATTAGCTCAACAGCTAGAAATTCTTTCCTCTCAAGATCGGCAGAAAACCGTACGGTGGCTTGTGCAAAATCAAGCGTCCAATGGCGGTTTTCGTGGACGGACCAACAAGGACGCTGATGCGTGTTATTGTTTCTGGTGCGGCGCATCGCTGCACGTAAGTCATAACAGCTCCATGGTGCCTTATCAGGTGGACGGTCGACTGACAAACTCCTGTTTTCCGTCTCATTGTACCAGGTGTTGGGTGCAAGCGATTTGGTTGACAAAGCAGCAATGTCTTCCTTTATAGCATCCTGTCAATTCAAGTACGGCGGGATTGCAAAGATTCCCGGCGAGCACCCTGGTACGTGGTTTACCATCACTTTGAGATACCTTTGCAGCGAACACCGTCGTAGATCCCTATCACACATATCTCTCATTGGCAGCGGTGGCCTTGCTCCCACCCGATTCGTCAGAAGGAGCCTCATGGGCTCTTTGCCCTCTAGATCCTCTATTGAATGCAACGTACCAGACGTCCTCGTGGGCTAGAGCTCATATTCCAGCACCCAAGGTTGATGGTGATAATGCTTTAGGTTGACGCGGGCATATAATGAGCAAAAATGTTATTTATTTATGTCGAAGAAATTAGACAGCTGGTCACCCGGTTAAGGTTTCACTATTGGTTAAAGCCATTCCTAGGCCCGGTACTGCCCAAGAAATGTGTATCATTAACAAAAGCACCTCTCCTCGACTTAATTCATTGTCAAGTGGGTCTGCTGAGATGAACCTCAAAATACGTCACATTCACGCTCGGCATCTGAATGAATTATCAGTGTGTATCTTATATCAATCTTGTATCACCCAAACTCCTATGTGCATGTAGTACTGCTTGAATCACCGCAGAACAATCGTAGTCACACCTTGACCTTCTTCATAATGCATATTTTTTTTCGCTCTTCATAAACATTAAGCTACGAAACGCATAGGACTGCATATTAAGCACCAACACATTATAAGTAGATCGAAATATTATAAGGAGTTAAACCCAAGTTACACCCAAACAGACTTTACCACGGGCGAAGGGCACTCGGACCGCTGCGCATGCCATTCACCCATCAGCCAAATAATATTATCATCCTGTGTAGTGAGCAATGAGTGTTAATTCTATACAGGCTGCTGTCGCACCCACCCGTATCGCTTTCTTGATGGAGTTTTCTAGTTCAGTCAGGATTTGCATTATCTGGCAATAAGCTGGTGCGCTCCAAGAAACGTGTGGTGAATTCCTGGAGGCGTTCATGACTATCGGCTGTTTGCCATAATGTCGGGCCGGCGCGTTTAACCATGGTTTGGACAGCGCGCACATGTTCCACGCTGACCATCTCGTGTAACAGAATCCCCAGGCACTCGTGCATGGTCGGTGCTTTGATGATGTCGAATGCGAACATGTCTGCTATGAAGCCAGACAAATCCAACGCGGCCTTCCATCGCTTGACGTCAGGTTTATTCCGCAGGGAGATAGCCCATGGGTTATCCTGTGTGATGGTGAGTACTCGTCGGAAGGAACAGTGAGGCTACGTACATGAGAACACCAGTATGGTTTGAAGTGCTCTAAGGCATACTTTTGCAGGTGGAATACGAAGCAGCTGGAGTCCCATTCGGAGTCATGGATCCTCAATGCATCACGGAATTCTACCGCAAAGATTGCGGCCTCCGGTCCAAGGTTCATAATGCTCGGTTTGTTCGCAACTGCCAAGTAGAAATGCCATGCAAGGTCGCACAGTGCATTGAACGTCCATGGACCCATATCAAACAATTGTCGCACCAGGCGAAGTCGGAAAGGGCGATCAGTTATCTGTGTGCCAAAGCGGAGGATATCCTGCCATGTCTGCGTAATGCCAATAGTTGAAGGAGCACGGCCAGACGCCAAAAGGCGGATGATGGGAGACGAAGGAATGAATACCGCGGCATTCGGGTTGAACTCGGCTTTCATCGCTTGAATGTGACGCGAGTGGATGCTTGACACGGTTTCCTGCACCAATGCCCCACTGAGCTGGTCATCCTTGAGTTTGTGAGCTTCTTCTTCGACTTCCTCACATAATGTTACACTGCTGCTGCAGGGGGATCCACTCAATGATCGATCGGGCGTGCCAGCGCTCGACTGCCCGGAGGAAGTTGGGTATCGAATCTCGTCGCGACAGAACGCTGACCCTGCAGGTTCAAAGAGTTGGTTCATTTGTGCCCTGAGTTCAGCATCAAAAGTAGCCATTGCTAGAGGATGAAGGGATAAGTCAATTTTTGTGATGAGGGAATGCGTTGGTTTTCTGTGATGAGTACGATTCAAATCCAATGGTCATTTATAAAGTGAACCAGGGCCACAGCGATGTGGAGCTTTGGCACTAAGACCTTGGTGGTGGTCCACACCTTCACCCAGGTCCTGAAGAAACCTGTCAAGGCGTTAGTACAATGCGGCATAATATCCACTTGATGTGCTGGTGCGAAGGTGGCGGGGGTTAACAACAAGGCTTGTGCACCACTGGTCTACATGTGAGGACCAAGCCATTTTATTGAGTACAGCCAATTGGGCCATGCACCGACAACATTGTCGCAACATTAACATTTTTCACAAAGGAGTAACTTACTGGCACCTACTTTGGTTTCAGATAAACTGGTGCTGGCATCCGACATTGTTGACGGGTTGCAGCATCATAGCACCTAGCTACTAGTGTCCACAGTAACAAACCGACGCTGGGCCAACCAAGCAATTTCGTTGTGTAGAAGCACAGCCACGAACACAATGTCAAGGAGCGGAATGTGGTATCAACTTTGGCTTCAAATGTCAAGTAAGAAGCATGAAACAGGTCTTTGAAGCGACCTTAGTATATAGTCCTGTGCCGTCCGCGTCAAGCATAGGAGTACGAAACAATCAGCTAATGACTAAACAATGGTCTGTTCGCTCACCTTGCAGGTATATTTATCTGCCCTAACAGGTCTCTGGTAGTATATCGGATAGTACACCCGCCTGTCACATCAAAAGTGCGCGGGAGAGCGGGGTTCGATTCCCCGCCAGAGAGTTTTTGCGCTGATTACTTGGAACTTGAAATTGACGTTATCTTTTAACCACAACTTTCTGCTTTTTTTAACTCGCAACTTCACGCAAATAGCAATGATGGGAGGGTGTTATAGGGCGGCGTTGAATTCAGTGCTATGTAGGTTACTTATCGCGGGTAGATCTGTGATGCCATCGTCCAACAAGAGGATATCGATATGGAGAAGGACTTATCGGAGAAAATTCAATGTTCCCCGGGCGCTCTGTAGCAATTACAGTTGTCTCCAATTGGATGATCAATCGATTTTCTGACCTGTAGACCTTTTTAAGATAGCAAAGTAACAAAGGTGGAGTCTACGTGGCATCGTCCAGAAATATATATACAACGTCTCGTCCCATTGGGTACAATATTATAATCCATCGTATTGAAAACGCTACTAGGCAAGAGAAGGCTTTCTTATCGATCCCGATCTGGTATAGGATCCATTATCGTTGTCTCCTTATGTACAGTACGTAGTGACCCCAAAGTCCCGAAACAATCATTACCGTGCGAGATCCCGAGCAAAATGGAAAAAGTCTACACTGGAGCTATTAACGCCGTATTTGTAGATCTGCAAGATGAAGGTGAGGATGGTCTTCACCCAAGAAAAGGAGATGGTGCTGAAAAACTCACGTAATGCGAAGCAACCCAGCTCGAGAACAAAGCACGCTGGTATGTTTCGGGAAGCCTCTCCAGCAGGGTGTCGAGACCGACCTGGTCTACAAGAGTGGTGGGTATAGCGCGTTTCATGACGCCCCTGCGGCTAGGTACATCGTCAAACAAATCAGAGAGTTCAAGCTCAGCCTGCAAGTTATTGAGCTTCATGGAGAGCTCGTCCGAGATCTGCGTCCGGGGCTTAGCGCCTTGAAGGCGGGCGTGCTCCCGCCAAATGCAGTGGAACTCTGCTGCGGCGTTCTCAGAAATTTTGGCTTGAATCTCTTTGACGTATTTTTCATAAAAGTCTGACGGCTTGCCGTCCTTGAAGATCATGAGGTCAAGGTATTCCTGGGTCGAGAGGGCGAGGCCAACGAGGACTTCAAGCGAAGAGCTGGTAACACCACCTGAAGCAAGGTCAACACCATCCAACAGATGACAGGAAAGTAATCACCCTTGTTCGCGCTGGAGTCCTTGAACAAGACAACCTTGCGTTTCTCCAAGTGCAACCGCGCCTGCTGAGTGAAGAACAAATTCGCACCCTCGACGATGTACTTGAAGTGGGGTTTGCCTTCCGTATCCGACAAAGCAGCAACATTCGAGACGTTCACAGCTTCAGGTCTGCATGATCATCAGCTCCTGTTTCCGTGCAGAAATGACGTAAACTGACCGTCCACCACAGGGCACGAACAGATCTGCCTTGAAACGGAGGTGAGCACCATTCCTGAAATCGGTACCGTCCAAAACGATTTCTCCGGCTACCGACAGAATGTGAGATATATAAAAAACCATTCATAAAGCCGAACGTACAGGGTAGCTTGATATCCTGTTCCTCGACCTTAACGATGTACCCATCCTTGCTCAACTTGGTCTTGTCGAAGTGAGCGACGGTCAAACGATGTTTAGCGAGGCGGATGAGCTCCTCCCTATTGATACCTGCAGGGTCGGCAAGAACACCGCTACCATCGATGATGGCAATGGTCTTGTCAGAACTCAAGAGTATCTCATCTATTGGGTGATTGATCGACGTAGTCCACGGATACACCATATCACGACTTACTTGAACCAAGATCTCCGTCTGCAAACCATTACGTCAAAGAGGACTCCCAAAGAGTGAAAAGGCAAACATACCAGGACCACCAGTCTGAACTTTGGTGATGTCCTTCTCCCTCAGTCCAAGCTGCTTGTAAATGCCGAGTACATATTGGCGAATGGATAGCGACGTCATTCCATATGTATCATGGGGAATACCGCCCAGAAGCTGAGCACTCTTGCCGGTAGTGAATGACTTCCACCATGTCTCAGCACCACGATCGCGAGCGTGCAACGCTGCCCAATCCATCATATCTGCTGTACCCTCTACACGAGAGGTCAGTCACCTCAACGAGTCATTGAACGCGGATCTTACCATCAGGGCCAAAGAACAGCAACTCTGGTTTGCCGTATAGGTCAATCAGACGTTCCTTGATTCCTGGGCTTTGGCCGGGAATAAGCAGGTCAATGACAGCCTAAAAGGATGATGAATATTTATCAAGCTATGCACAAATGCACACTTACATCAACGTACTTCTCGAAGCAGCGTCTGGGCGGTGCTCCAAGACTAGGTGAAAATTCAAAACACGTCAAGGTGGGAAGAGAACATCACGCACGAAGGTAAAATGGTACCCTTCGCGCCTCCTTCGGGAATGTCCTTGTTCTTCAAAGATTGCGTGGCAGCTAATCCGTAGTTCTCGTCGAACAACATCCTCTGGTTGATCGAGTAGTTCCTATTAGATAGAGCTTAATTGTACGATTCCGAGGTCAGAAAAGGCGAACATACTCCTTGTTCCTCGACATGACGATACGAATACCGCCTCGGGCAACATCTCTGAAACGGATGTGGAACCCACGGAATTCATTCCCGATGATGATAAACATTCCGAAGGGCTTGTTTGGATATTCAACCTCGGGCAAAAATTCAGGTGCGAGGCGGAAGGACAGTGCGACCTTGGTCGGTTGGTAGAAGTTCGTCTTCAAAATATGCCTACACCAAGGTCAGCTACCGATCAACCAAATCGTTCTGCAACTGACTTGTTGAAAATGAGGAAGCTCTCGAGAACTTGCAGATCTTGCTTGTTCAACACTGTACGTCTGATTTTATCATACAACTCAGAGTCCGTCAGGGGCTGCGTGGTTTGAAGACGCTGGTAGGAGAGAGTAGGACTGATTGCTTCTCGTTAAGTCACCTCAAGAAAAATACATTAGTAGACTCACCCGAGCTGCGATGCCTCGTCCGCAGCGGGATAATGTACCATGGCGAAGTTGACATAGAGAAGGTGAATCTGTCGGAGAAATGTTAATGCGGGATCCTGAACGAAATTGATAACGCACGATTTCTGAATGTGCGTGGATGACTTGAGCAATGCTCTCCCGCGTAAAAGTTTCCTCTCTGAAACGTCTTTTGATATCATTGAGCACCTCAGCATGTGCGGGGTTCGATTCGTCCAAGATATTCTTGAGGTGGAGGTATGCAGGACCCAAGCGATTGCAGAAGTGTTGAGCGAAAACCCAACCACAATCTAATGAACAATTAATTCAATTCCTGTCCCCAAGAATATTGGACATACAAGCATAGGTCGCCTCTTGCACAGCATGCCCAGAGTTGACAGAATCGAGGAAAAAGGGGTTGTCGGGAAGACAGTACAGCAGAGATGCCTCTTTCATCACCTGGAAGATAGAGTGCTCGATCGGGGCAGCCGTGGAGCCGGGCATCGGGTTCAGGTATAGAGAGATGATCGTGATCCCGTTGGAGAACTGCTCTACATACTTTCGGGCCGAGTACAGCTGGTAAAAGTGATAGAGGTTCGAGAGTGCGCTGCAAACGAGTTCAGGCCACTGCGTTGTTACGTATATTGGTCAACACACCTAAAGAATCGAGAAGTACCGCCCATCTTGTATCCTATGACAAGACGCCTCTCGCGAGTACCTTCAACTTCGAATACTTCCATGACAGGACCATAGCGGCTCTCGACCTGCCAGATTATTTTCTGGTACACTTCAAGAGTATGCGGGCTCGCTTTCTCAAGGAAAGCAGTGTCAGAGACCGTACGGATATCGGTACGTCCATCAGTCCGAGTTGAGGGAGGTGGAGCAGGAAAGTTGCACTTGGTAACGAAGTAACAACGCAGCTGTTGAGACGCTGTTGCTGATATAGATCCAGTGGATCGGAAAGTCTCAAGGCGGTAACAGTTCGATGGAGTTGAATTATCGAGGTATAAAGCGTCGATTCTGTGTCAGGCACAAAATCGGCATAGCGATTGTGAGATATGAGACATAAACATACCTCGATTCACAAGTCGCGCCGGGCCCCTCGGTAGAAGTGAGGCCCGGTAAACTTGTGTGAATGAAAGTGGCACCATTTCCTTTCTCGTCGATCTTCTCGAGGTCGATGACAAGCTTATTGAGGTCATGCTTGGTGTAAGCGAGCACCTTGGCACCAAAGAGTGCGATGATGTGATCTGATATAACAGAGGGTGATTCATTTTGAAAGTAGGTGTCATCGATGCCGAGTTGAGAGTAGAACCAGTTGACCTCGTTCGCAACAAGCTCGTGAGGGACAAATCCCTATGAATATGACGCAATGCAGTGAGTATTGAGCTCGAGATATGTAGATCGCAGTACCTTGGCAGCGACATCGGCTTGCACTTTGGCACGTTGCTCTTCCTTGCCTTTGAAGACTGGGGTAGTATAACCAGGCAGGTTCTTGATGCGTTGCAAGGATGCCTCGCTACTGGTCCTCGAGCTTACGGCGGACTGACTGTTGAGGTGAGTCATGTTTGGGTCAAGGAGAACACCTAGACTGGGACGAGGCTGGGACGGCGTCGAGGACATCGTCTAGCAATGATTATAGATGTCTATAGAAAATCTATAGGTAAGTCGCGTCTAATTATCAACCAAGATCGATGGATGCAGTGAATCGGGGGACAACAATGTTTTTTTGGTGGTAAGATTCAATCAGCGTATTTATACAGATTTATATACGGACCATGTTAACTCATCTTTTGAGCACTCATTCGAACGGATCTTGTACTGGCAACAAGGTTAATCCGATATACAATCCCAAACAAAGAGAAAAAATGGAACAATTCGGAAGGTACCATCTAGAAACACAATATACTTCAATGACGCCTTATGATATACTTCGAGGGCGCAATATTTTGCAACTTGGTCTTGTCCATAGTCGTTGAGTCTCGACCCGGTTCTGCAAGGTGCCCGGTAGCGACTGCGGCCTGCCCCTTCCATTTTCCTGTGCGGTCGGGGCTGTCAGATACGATCCCGCGCTCATCAAGGCTGTAATTTTGGAGCTCTGCGGCCGAAGCTGTCACCGCATAAGTCCCCGACCGTTCAGTCTGTGATCAATGCATGGAGACCACTTCAAGAATCCGGATTCAAATGAGTCTCACATGATGGGCCCGATGATCATAATCATTTCGAATTCAATGAGTAAAAAAGTAATTGCATTACATACTTGACCCGCGCATTATGGGGTTTTCGGACGCCAGATCCCGCTGATACCGGCAGCCGCCTCAGGGTCAACTGAACTCGTGCTCTACCAACCTGCTAAGTAGTAATAATCACCGTTACCTAGTGTTACTTGCGTACGTCTGCAAAACTGCGCCTGCCACGACACGATTCATAAATTTCCATTCTTTGTTACCTTTTTCAACTCATCAGCCGACTCGGAGACGCGATTAGAATTATTATCATCCAACCTCTCACCTAGAGCTATTTTAGTCCACGTGGAATTCATGTGTAATGCCACCTCAATGCGGCTTTAGTCGACCCCGCATTTCCTGTGCATGAGGTCTTGCTCCCCTCACTCAATTTACGTACCATTTCGACCTTGGCTTCGTCACCGTGAATTGCTAGCGACCGAACCTAATTTTTGTGATTTAAGTTGCGATATCTCGCGTCATTGTTCAAATTTAATGCTCATACACTTCGTAGCAAAACGTTGTTTCAAGTATCAGGCTTCCGATGGATGTTTGTGCCATGTACATTGTGACACGTTTGTGAACTCGATGTCGACAGTCTATCTGGAGATATGTGTTCCCTGAAAAATTTAACTTCTACTCCGACTAGTGCTGGGGCTGCGTGATTGGTATGGGCATCATACTGCATCATAGCTCTTGCTGAGACTTCAACTGAATAGGACGTTGCTACCGTGATCGCCCCTGTCATTCATAGTGTCAAGCAAGCGGCTTTTCTGAAGACCAATTTCGCCATTTGTATTGGGCCCTTGGCTATCCGCAAAGGATATCACATCCTGCTCCGCCTAAAGTGAATAGATCAATTCATCACGACGTGTGAGTGGATCCCTACTGTCGGGCTATACGACCAACCAAAATAATAATAATGAAAGATCAACAGATATCAACGCATCCATATCATCATACAGATCTGTACACTTCCACTGCGCTGATTTCCGAACGTCATTGGTATGTCCATGGCTAATACCAATCTAAATGCCCTCATACACGCATATCTTAGTCGCACGGCGGCAGCCGTGGCACGAATGATATGTAATGCTCACTTGGATTCAGCAAGTATGAGTACTCGGGAAGCGCCGGTGGAGTCCACAGAAACTTCCTTGCCTCCATTAATATTATCGCATCGTGAACTCCGCGGTAGGTATCTACTCCTAAATGACCGGTTGACCCTCCGACTGGTTCTGCGATGCTCCGGGCGCTGACGGACCTGAGCAAAGAAGATATTCGCCTTTACAAGGCTACGTCTGAAAGTGTGAAAACGTGCACGCAAACAGCTTCAATTATTGAAGGAGCAAGCCTTTCTCTGCAATCGAAAACTCTGGGGCTCGAACTTCTACTTTGCCATTATTGTGGGTAGAAATACTGGGTTCTGTCGACCAGTCTGGCAAAACTGGTTGTCCTTGGCAGACAGCAGAACTCGGGTACAGGGAGGCCAGAACTCCATGACTTCCAAGAAATGTAACCTAGAATAAATGCACTGGGTTCAGCATAAGTGTGAAATGTACCGGTGGTGTGAAAACTACCGGTTGTAACTCTGCCTCAATGACCCTTTTTCTCAATGAGTGGGAGGATCTGATCAGATGGTTAAGCTGCAGTCCAGGTCGTCCTGTAGATCGCAATATGACGGAGGAGGCGTCCTCAGAAAGTCACGAACCGTATGGAAATCCGCGGGGATCGTACCACCGCAGATCTCAGCTATTCCCCTAGATTCTTGTAAACACCATTGGAATTAGATTCCAACTTGATGGCAAGTTGTCATACTTAGGACATGTCGACTACGATGGCGAGGATGGCGTGTGGGCAGGACTCGGGAGCTGTCAATGAATATCGTACCATGACAGCAACCGGGCCGACCGGCAAAACAACTAGTTCAACCAGAACTTCAGAAGTACTCAAATCTTCAAGGTTCAGAGTTTCGAATTCGAATTTTTGTCGTTGCCTGGTACCATGCTTCTCTCGCGCCTCGTAACGACTGCAAAACTATTTTCCACTTCTGCCGTTGCGAGCTTTCCCAAACTCAAAACACACAGCGGTACGAAAAAACGGTGGAGGGCTCTCAGCAATGGCAAGTTCAAACGCGTACGTGCATCTCCCAAGCCCCTCCTTTGATTTCGTTCAGCTCAACGACACGCACAGGCACACGCAGCACACGCACATCTGAACGTCACCAAGAGACCTGGGCGCAAGAACACACTCTGCCAGACGGCATATTCCAGCGGAGCGCAGACACCAACCTTGAAAAAACTCATGCCTTACGCGTAGCCCTACTTATTCCATAGGTCGGTTCCTTGTTCCAAACTGGGGAGTATGACACTCATCACCTCCAGATACTGTATACTCTGTATTTCTCATAGACTCGACATCTATTTTGCCAAGAGTACACAGCTGCGATACATACATGAGACTTCTTGACGGCATTTGTTCGTCCAGTTCCAACTTTGACAACTGTTCCTCGGAATGCCGGGCTGGTCCAGGTGCACATGTGGTCACACTGCTGCGTTCATTTCTGATGAACAATTCGTTGTGGCCACTGCCAGCGGACAACCAAGATACAAAGGAAGCATATCATATTTCAACGTTATCTCAACAGTCAACTTAACTGGAGATGCAAGTTTGGCAAGAATATCATGAATGGCATTGGACGCAAGTCTCCGAAATCAAGCTTTTGTGGTGTTGGAACCTCTGGTCGTGTGACGTTGCTTTGCAGTTCTACGATAAACTCAGAAGTCTCGTTTGATGCAATCATGAGGTTCCACGTCCACAACACGATGCTTACTTCCGTCGATGAAGGCAAGAACGGATATTCACCTCATAATGCGCCTAGTTCGGCAATAATAGCGCTCGCTGGTGGAATCTCGCACGAACGCCATCATGATACATCCACCAAGTCCGTTGTACCCATCCCTCGGATATGACCCTAGTCGTTGGTGGCCGATAATCAATGCGGATGTTTTTACAGCTATTTTACAGGTTCGTGGAGATTCAGTCGGATGATGTCGGTGATGTCTCTATCTAACTATAACTCCAGGTTCGCAGTTGCTGCCTATGCCTGGGTGACGTATGATCATGGTGAGCAATGTAGAAATTAAGAATCGCTGATATATCCTTATGAAATTTCAGCATTGACATTCGGACAAGAGATAGGTTGATGCCATTACCCGAGCAGCCATCTCGCTAAGAATCGTGTCGTAGGTCGAACTAGTCTGGGTGGGCGGAACAACAAAACAACACGATGATACAACTGATTCGTGCAGAGGCAACGATGGTCCTGATGACCGTGTTATATCTCATCGTGCATAGCTCGTATTATGAGTGCAGTTGGCTAGTTGTGCTGACTTCAAAATATCCTAGGTGCGCTACATTGGAATACCATACGCTGCGTACGTTTACAAGGAGGTGCGCATGAGGCCATGGGCGCCTGAACGCTTGGGATGAGGAAGGCGGAATACTGGAGGGAGATCGAGGGGTGTGCTGGAAGGTGTTGCGGAGGCGGTTGAGATATTCGTTTGCTCCGTTTGAACCTGTTCTACTTTGATTTTCCAGTGTCATACAATGTGGCCCACGGCCAGGGCGTACGGGGCCTAATTGAGGATCATTGAGACGGCTGGTTTTAATGTTAGACCAATGTTAGAAGGATGGACCGCAGAGTGCTAGTGAAGACCGATAGTCACATTCACTGCGGAAACGACAATTTAGCCCCACCCATAACCCGAGACAGCTTTGATGTATAACCCGACGTAGGGCGTACCTAGTGCTTGAACCAGACTAAAATCCGACTTGGACGATTTTTGAGCTCCACAGAGCTACCAAAAGACTTAAGCTGAAGTTAACCAGACGTCGGTTTAGTCCCTAACAATTGTAAGCAAACTATAAACGGACGTTGGTTTTCTAGGCTCCGAGGCCAACACCTTCCCCGCACACAGCCTCGTACTTCGACCCCAAACCGACGTCTGGAAATACAATATTTGCATAACCCAACCCTGGAGTCTATGGTGGGATGGTTTTTAAGTAAATTCTCACTAAGTCAACGCTAAGTCCCTCATCTCAAGTACAAGGCAACGTCACACGTGATATCTGATTTGACGTCGAGTCGCAAGCGCTTGGGCCGCATCGCCAGCTGACCTTAGCTTTAACATATCATCTGTAAGCGCTTTTACCCTTGACACGGCTGACCAGCAGGACCCCTCCGTCAAAAAATGCGGCAAAAAAGGTGTACCTGCCAGGCTTACAGATGTAATGGAGTCCTCATACCTGAGCACACCGCACGCGCTCATGAACGGCGTGACCTGCGAGAAAAAACTGCTGCATCGCAGGCCCAATTTAAGCGGGTTGGTGAACGGTTCGTGCCGAGCGCTGCACAAGAAGCTGACCCAGTTCCTCGCGGATACTCTGTTCCCTTGCATGACCCGCAGCCCCTGTTATCTCCCGATGTTCAATTTCACGACCCACATCGTATTTCGGAATCCCCAGTCGAACAGGAGATGTTAGACTATGGTTTCCTAACCGGAGAAGATGTGGACCTCATGACCCATTGTTCCAATCTGCCCAATCTCGGGCCCAACTTCCATAGCCCTGAAGCGCTGCATGACGCTGTTGATCACTTTAGCGCATATAACGCAGCTAGCAGTTCAAGCTCACGTCCCCTCACCTCATACGAAGCCCATCACCTCCCGCATGACCCAGAACAGCGTGCATTAGATCGCGAGATCGAAAAAGCCATCGAAGCGATCCAAAATGAAGACAGTCAAGTTCTACAACAACACGAGGATGGTCTCGATGACCTAGACATCAATGTCAATGGAATATTCGATGATCAAGACGATGAAGACAATAACGTGATGCCATCCACGGATCCAAACGAGGACGACCCTGATCCATTTCTGCCAGAAGAAGGTTTCAACTCAACACGCGACAGGGACCTCACAGATACCCCCCCTCATCTGATCATGATATATGCGCTGATCTCATGGTTACATCTCCAGTTCCACCTTCCACGAGCAGCGTGTAATGCCTTACTGGCTATTTTGGGGTGTATCCTCGTGGCCCTATCTCCAGCGATCGACACTCCCTTCATCACACTGCAAGAGCGTCATCATGTTCATCAACACGCAAGGTGAGAGTTTCATGTGTACCAGTCAGCTTCTCGTGAACAACTGACATCTGTGCATTATCAAGGCAGATTCGTTGACTTATGTTCGACAAGTGTTCGTTCGACTCTGTCAGTACTAGTCTTGCGACTTCAGATACGAGGCATGCAACGGTCGCATTGAGATCCCGGACTTGATCTTCAAGGGTATTTGGAACGTGCTGGTAAGGATCCATTCGCAGTGGTGCTACTTGTTGAGGCTGACGAAATGAGTAGATATGCTGGTAGCTCCCCTCATGAGATCCACTCGGAGCCTGTGATTGTGACCGCGACGATGGGTTGCTGCCTGTGAATGGGGTGAGTGAGTTATGGCCATGGTACAGTGTATCATGTTGAGGGCCTCCCATCAGTGGCGCTGGTGTTTGTTGGCCTAAATCCTGTTGTAAACCGCCCAAAAAAAACTCGTCGACCTGTGGCAGCATGTGGTTACCAGGGAATAGTGGCGATGGGTGAGGTGCTGGTCTGCGGTAAGCTTCTGTGATTTGCTGTTGACCGCTATCCTGATCATAGCCCCCAGTATTTTCACCTGGAATCATGACAGCACCACTAGGGCGATGCTGAGAGCTATGTTGATTATTAGCAAACATTGGGCGCTAGAAGGAGGGGAAGGAGGGAAGGGATTCATTACCTGGGGTGGCCTGCGATGGGGAGCGCAGATCCCTAGGAAGTACCATAGAAGACGCGACTGTAACCCTACATTAATCAGACTTCTTTTTGCCTATCATTCAGAAGCAAAGCAGCCTTGCTTGCCCTAATAACCAGATGCAAAGCAGACAGCAGACCTGATATTTCAGATGTGATTTGTATGTCGGGTTAGATGTGGGGGCAGCTATCCAACACAAGCCCACATTGCCTAACCCACCTCGGGATTTGCTCTCAAACGGTCACCATTCTCCACTTTAACCAGTGGGGATTCACACATTTGCCATTCTCTGGTTATAGTATATTTATTGCCACTACTTCTACGTCAACCCTATCGGGTTATTTTGTCGTTTCCGCAGTGATTAGGCCTGCTTCTTAAATTCCCACGGATGCGTTTGCGGAGGATTACTGACTCTTTCTCCACTGCGTGGAGTCGGGGATACATAAAGCGTAGTATGGTGGTATATTTAGCACGGACATCACCATTTTATATTTCCCCCTCGTACCACCCCTCGAATATTCTCAAACGATCCCAGTTGGTGACCGACAATCAATTCGAATATTATTTACAGTTATTTTGTAGGTTCGTGGACATTCAGTCGGATGTTGGTGGTGTCTCGATCTAACCGTTCGCAGTTGCCTCATCTGTTGGAGTGATTTACGATTGGGGTGAGCGAGGCAGTACCCAAGAATCGTTAATATGCTCATGATATTTACAGCACTGACATTTGGACAAGAGGTAGGTCGATGACATTACCGGAGAAGCCACCTCACTAAGAATGGTGTTATAGGTCGAACTGGTCTGGGTGAGCAGAACAAAATGATAACATGAGGACACAACTAATTCGTGCAGAAGAAACGCTGGTCACTCATGACTGTGTTATGTCTCAGTGTGCGTAGCATGTATTACAAGTGCAATTGGCAAGTTGTGCTGAATATTCTAGGTTCGCTATAGTGGGAATACTCTACGCTGCGTATGTTCGCAAGGCTAGCAAATTGGCGCGGTACTAATAACCCATATTTCACTATCAGCATCAATATGCTGAGTATGTCTTCTTACACGCACTGCATTTATTTCTTCTGATCGGTGGCATACAGACAATCTTCCGTCACTCTCGCTGACAGATGTGGTGGGTATTCTGCAATGGATGCCTGCCATTCCCGTCTAATTAACTGGCGCTCATATGTAGGGGTAAGTCGGATTCTCCACACTTTGTTGGTTCAATACAATAACCACAACAGCTGTGAGTTAACTTGGATTGTCCGATCCTCCGAGGATTGTCGCTAAATGGTTTTCAGGTAGTCGTATAATCTACACAATAAACTGGATGCATGTGGTTGCAAATGCCATGCTGGGCGGTGAGCCACTCAGCCACAATACATCAGTGACGTAGACTTGACTGAAATGTGATACAAGTCATCATGATCGCTCGGTTACATGCCATGCATCAACGATCCAGAAAGATGTTCATCTTTCTCATCGTCATCTTCCTGGCTGTCAACATTCCCTGCGGGGTGATCGCCGGAATAGACACGATGTATGTTTCAGGAGGTAAGCTTCAATATTATGGACGAAAGACTCGAGTGCACCAGGCCCATTGGAACACTACTAGAAGTGCTGGTCCTCTCTGGCACCTACCTGTGCTCTTATCTGGGAGATGACCGACGCTTCAGGGTCATAATCTGGGCGCTCGCTGCTGCATGGGAGGTCCTTGTACTGTGTCTTGCAGTGCGGATTATGGTAAAACACTTCCGTGACATGCAACAACTCGAACCATCGACAGGACGGACCATCAGTGACTGTTTTATGGTATTAATACAGTCCCACGTGGCGTACTTTGCAAGGTGAGCCAGGTAATGTAAATGCGGCCTATCTTTTCCACTGAAATTCCACACGTGCTAGCTTTGCTTGCCGTCTCTTGCTTCAACATCGGTACTCTCTCTCCAAACATCTCAGTACGCCAATCTGCCACTAACATCTGTATGCGACCACTGTTTCATCATTCCTTTCTCTAGAACTCGAATTCCACGGGAACTCACATTTATGGTGGCATTCTTGAATTCCTCTTGGTCATGCAGTTGTTTGTGCTGGGACCACGCCTCATCCTTAGCGTCCGAGAATATAACGTTAAACTCGTATCTGACTCCGATGCAGGAACCACCATGACCACGATTGCTTTCGAAGAGCGCGTCCATATGTCAACTGGCAGTGATATGTAGGACGCACTTGCCGGGTATCCTGCAGGGGGCGGGAAAATCTTGTTTTAAATGTATACTATAATTGATATATCCAAGATCGCCCTTCGAGTAAAATCCAGGTACATTAGAGGAAATGACGGTGGAGGACAAAAAGGTCGGGCCTCGCCTACTCGCCGAAAGATAATTAGCGCGCAATGCCGCCAAGTAACACATGGGACCTTGACTCGGAGACCTAAGTATGTCATTCCCGTCGCTTGTACGGAACCGTATACAAACATCGAGCCAAGATTCTCAAGACAAACAAGCTGCTGCATTGATGAACGATGAACTAGTAACTGGACTCGCGGCAGAAGCCTGCCACTTATAATTAGCTCACTGTACAGTGCCTTGTTGATGTGATACGCACCGTTTAGCAGCATTTTCATGATGCCCGAAGGAAGGCCGTATGGCTGCGAATGATTAGCGCCGCATGTAATCTGTACCTGCGAAGTATATAAAACTCACTCACCTTGCCAACTTCCACCAGGCAAGAGACCAGGAACTGTTCGTCCCCATAATTGGTGCACAGACACCTTCAAAACGAGTCCGTATGACTTCTAAATCCCACATAAAGCCTACCCTCCAGGAAACTTCAACCGAGGAAGAAGCGTCATCCCTAGCGCGATCCAAAAAACCAACTCCGAAGCACGAATTTGAGGGACACGGTGACTACATATGGAGGTTCGTATTTTTGCACGATAACGTCCACATCGTGAGTCATTCGTGGGACGGCACGATTCGCAAGTGGAACTGCGACACAGGACTTCTTGTCGGAAAACCATGGAAAGGCGAAGGAGGGGAGATACATGCACTGGCGCTGTCACCGGACGGGAAGATAATTGCGTGCGGGAGGGCAGACGGAAGTGTTCAGAGGTGGAACACGGATGGGGAGATGATCAAAGATGTTTGGAGGGGTCAGACTAATGTGGTCTCGCTCTCGTGGTCTCCCAGCGGAGATCATATTGCCAGCGGATCCCAGGATGGAAAAATCCTAATTCGAAAAGCAGACAGTGGAAAAGTCGTGGTGGGTCCAATGGAAACAAGGCAGGGCGAGGTGCTTGCTCTTGCATATTCACCTTGGGGAGATAGAATTGTATCCGGTGGGGAGAACTGTACGATCTGCATATGGGACAGCAAGACAGGCAATCTTATTGCTGGCCCGCAAGCCCTGGGGTGCTTTGCTGTGACATCGTTGGTGTGGTCGATGGACAATAGCAGAATCTACTCTGCCTCCGACGAATCCGCACGTGTTTCGAAAGGCGACTTTGTGATATTTCCCCCTGATCAGTCGCACTCATGCGAACCACCGGCGGCACCACAAGTACTCAATCGCTACCAGCACAGCGATTTCGTGAATTGCGTTGCACTTTCAGCCCAATAACAATGTCCTGGCTTGCGTGGGCTGGGGAGGTATCGCACAGCTATGGGACATAAAGTCCAATCAGAAACTCGGCCAGCCATTTCACCGGAAGGATGACATTCGGCTTTTCTGTGTGTCATTCTCAAAAGACGGGAGATACCTGGCGTATAGCGCAGAGGACGGGAGACTCACTCTATGGGTGGTCAAAGACATGGCGCCTGAACTTGCAGCTCTCATGATCGAGTCACTGCCTGTCTTGCCTTGCTCGGAGCCTGCGACCATCACATCCACCCAAACAACACCAGAACAGAAGGTCAAACAGGGAAGGATAAAAGCGGCCAGGATGTTGATGTAGGTCCTTTCTGCAAGGCTCTCTGGCCCTATCATTATCTCAACACGATGGACCGTCAGTGTTCTGCGAATGACCCACAAGATGATAAGGGTAAGGGCAAAGAAAAAGTTGAACCTCCTGCTCTCGCTGCCAAGCTCGACAGGGAGGCAAAGAACAACATCTGGAAATGGTTTATGCGTGCTCGAGGGAAGGAAACAGACTTCCTTCACTGCACTAATGAAATATCCCAAGGGTCGTTGAGGTATATGCCGTGCGCGGGTTGCAGGTGAGCCAGCTCCATTTGTACACACTTTTGTTCTTATTAGAGATGGAAATAACAGGGATACGTCGCTCCAAGCGTAAAAAAAAGTCACCGGCCGTAATGTGCAGCGCTCCTCTCGCTGCTTGCTCATCACAGGCGGGTTCATCTTCGCTTGGTGTGCAGGTCGGTACGCAAGTGGTGTCCGGACAAGTCAGGCCATCACCGTGTGGCTAGACACGGAATTCAATATTCACGAGCTGCTGCAGGTCTACCGTCACATGGTGGTTCTTAGCGCCTCATTCTGTATACCTACTGGTGTCGTCGATACTTACTCAGGTTATCCATCCATTTACAGCCTCCCTGGCGTCTACATGTGCACTTATGGGATAGATGGCCAACTTCTGAGAACCATAGTTTGGGTACTCTTCGCTATATAGGAGGTTCTCGTACTGTGTCTTGCAACGCGGCTTCCTCTAAAACACTTGCGTGAACTGCAACGACTCGGACCCTCGACAGGACGCCCCATGAAAGACCGTTCATCATGATGTTAGTGGCGTATTGTACAAGGTGAGCTCATAATTTCAATGCGGTTATCTTTTCCCCTGAAATTCCGCGCGTCCTAACTTTGTTGCTGCCTCTTGCTTCAGCGTCGGTACTCTTTCTCAGAACATCTCGGTGCGATCATACGCTCACCTGTCACTGACGTCAGACATCTGCGTGTGACCACTATTCACATTTTCTTTCTATAGACCTCAAATTCAACGGGAACTGTCATTTATGATGGCATTCTTGGAATCATGACTGCCGTGCAGTCGTACTAGGACCACAGCTTATCCTTGGCGTTCGTGAATACTACACTAAGCTCGTATCCGACTCCGATGTACCAGTCAACTGGCAGTGATGCGTAGCACGGGAGGCGCTCCGAGCGATGGGCACTTGTCAGGATTTCTGCAGGATGGCGGAAATTTGTTTGGGGTATCCGAAATGCATATAGGTTATACATACAGGTAGCACCCATCCATATTTTATGCTGGCTTGACATGATTCTTCAACCTCCCAATTGACGCTGGCAGCATATGCCTCTACCAATATATGTGCACACCTACAATTTCTTCTGATTGCTCTCGGACATATGTCAGAGAAGGTTCTTGAAGTTGCCAGTTCGGTGCGGATACTTGAAGTTGAGTAACAGGTTGACGCACATAGGGGCGGAGTCACTGGATCATACATCGATTCAAATGAGCCTGACGTATCGATGACACAGATCTATTAGGGGTACGCATATAAGTAGCGGCTCAACACCCCAAGCCTAAAAGTCACATCTTCACCTGCACATCCAAAGCACACCCAAAGCGCATCCAATTTATTATCGGGATGGTGGGTCCGATCACTTGTATCTCAGACTCACAATTCTAACCCAAATCAAACAGACTGAATATCAGGTACGAAGAGATGCTGTTCTCCCCCATCGCCGTTCATGGACTCTTTTTCACAGCCAGGAGACAAAGTCAAGTATAGGCCCATAGGCGGGGCGACGTCAAAAGTCGCCGAGACCGTCGGAGAAATCGTGGACGTGAAGGGTTCTGGTGAGGTGAGTTCTGAAATGTTGTTCCAGATGGTGTCAGGTTAACAAGTTGGGCGCAGGACACTCAGTACTCCATCAAAAATGACCACACTGGGAAAACCACGACATATTATGTATGTGCCCTTGAGTTGACGATAGGTGATTGGAACTGATGCCCTTTCAGGCCCGGAACGTTGAGGGCAAGGTTCCAGAATCAGAGTAAATGTTTTGCAAGTAAAAGCTTTTGCGGAGGTGTCAATACATGATGAAAAATGACATTGCCTGCGTAGTGTTGCGCTGGCTTTGCCTTGAGTGATTGATAATTGGTATAGATTGCATACGATTGTATTGAGCTTTTGATAGCTCCTCTTCGTCCTACGGAGTTAATGAAGTTCAGATAACTAACAGTTCGGCCTCGGGACTGTCGGGGATTTGAACTCCCTTAGGCCCTCGAGGTGATATGTTTCAAAGGATAAGAGAATTAGCAAGCAAGACTCGGAATTGCGACCCGGGCAACTATGACTGCAGCTGTGTATGGCAGAAAGCCACTTTTAGTCAGCTGTGATATAAGCAATCGGAGGAGGTTCTTGAATGCCGGCGAAGTTTACCCCTCCAACTTGCCTCCAACAGGGATAATTCTAATGAGAAACCCCCTTACCTGCTTAGTCAGCAGACACCCTTCTGACTTTCAATATTGTGGCAGGGTTTCTCACGGCCGGAGCACACTGTGGTACCGCTACACGGTCGCCGAATAGGCGATTTTAAACGCAACGCCGCTGTGTCCTCCAACGTCTCAGGACAAGGAAAACCAAGTTCTACGAGGCTTTCGGCAAGAACTTGAAGTTCAGTATTCATGAAGATGCTTTGAACCACAGTAAGCTTGCTAAGTTCCTCCAGTTCTTCTCCATCAAGTTGCTCGAGGAACAGACTTTGAAGTTTGAACGAGGTGAGTTTTTGTGTCAGACTAATGATTTTTGATGTGTTTAAACGCCACGCGTTTTCGAAGTCATTCATTGGGCCCCCTCGTTCCAGACCGTTTGTGGCTGTCTGCGCCGATTTGCACCTGTGCTCTCGCCTGTGCATGTTTGTGCCATTCTCCGTGTCCTGTGAACATCTGTTCGTGTCCCTGCTGGTGTGCATGTTCCGCGATGTTTTTGCTTACATGTGCCTCTTCGTATTTGTTGGTCTGCATTCCTAGATTTTGTGCCTTACGTGTTGAAGGTTGGTGACTGGAGTCCTGGCCTGGCATGTAGTTTGATCTTTGCACGTACCTTATTCTTCGTAAGTTTGGGAACCGAAGTATTCCGGAACGGTAACAGGGCACTCGTTACTCAGGCCTACATTGTTATCGGGGTTTCTTTTCCACGGGGGGTTTCTCATTAGAATTATCCCTCCAACAGGGCTTAGTCTCCCCGCTGCCTTCGTTATTAGCGCTCAGATGCCTTATCTCACCAGCGCCCACCTCGCTATTAGTGCTCTGATCTCATCACTGCTTAGCCTTCCCACATCAGCAAATCACTTTGCTTCTGTGGTTCTGTACAGAACCCACAGAGTTCCATAATGCAGTGTTTTGCTGATGCAGTGTCGGAAGGTTTAGTTGTGCTCTACCTGAGTTTCCAAAAAGTTTTGAAACTTATTTTGAATACCACTATACAAGAAGACTCCGAGAAAAAGCCATCAGACCCTTTACCTTTGAAATTACATGGCGTCAAGGCCCAATAATGCATGTTTAACAGGCAACATCCATGAACCTGCTATCAGGAAAACTCGTGTTTCAAGACGCAGCGAATTTCCTTATCCCTGACTCGTCGAATTCATACGTCCGATTTCCTGTACAATTTATCCGGCATCTCCCGGGTAGCGCCATCCCTCGCCATCCTCAACTCTTGTCTATATTTCTCGACTCGGGCTCCATTGAATAGCCACGTCCATGCAGTTAGAAACCGAACGGCAGTTCAATGAATGCCATCATATCAAGCTACAGATAGATAGGAATATGGTCTTTGAATTTCGTGTACTTGGACCTCCCTAAGAGATATTCTTTCTACTACGTCATGTAGTGTAGGGCCTGGATGGCTGAACTAAAGTTCAATCACAATATACACGTAGTGTGAACTTCGTTGCAATTGAAGGCAACTTCAAGATTGAATGTTTCTCAAGTGTCCCTGTGTGTCAAATGAACCTAGGGATTGTAGCTCACCCAAAAATCAGTTGATACTATGTATCACTAATCTAATTGTAGCTTCAAATTTTTGCTCCAGACTTCAAGCGTATTTTCATCCCCTGTTAACAGTTACTACATAAGGAGATCTATCATCTCGGCAGCCTCATGTTCATATGTATGCGGGTTTCGTGACGACCAATGGCGAAACCCGGATACATATGAACATGAGGCTGCCGAGATGATAGCCTGAGTAAATCTCCTTATAAGTGTAGTAACTGTTAACAGGTGACGAAAATACGCTTAAACGATTAATATTGGTGACTGCACATCATAACTCTTGAGTATAAAACGTCTAGCATGTCAAGACGCACTAAATTATCCCCTGTGCTCTCTTTTCGTCATGGCCGGAGAGCAAACATTATCCGTTGCCCTTCGTAACACATCCACTTTTACCAGAGTACTCTGTTGTTTTGCTTTGGGGCGCCCCGATCTTGAAGACCACTGGGAGTCGCTACAATCAGCGGACACATTCGAAATCGTGAGGGGCAGGATGTACTCTATTCTGACTGTCAACGTCACTGCAGTAAGCTATTCAACTCCTGCGAGCTGTACCCGGCGCTGAAGTACTCCCACACAGGCGGGCCTGCTTCTTGCTACCAGTGGTGTTTTCGTAACCACAAGCTCTCCTGTACCAGATTTCGACTACACTATGCCTGGCTCCTATTTTCCACTTTTTATGTCACTCATGCTGGCCATGATTGCAATGTTGACATCTGGCCTGAGCATGATCCGCTGGCAACGCGCCAAGCGGCAGCGAACTCGAGAAGTAAGGGTTATTCTCGCATTTACTACCGATTACACCGACTGACCCATTATCAGCAATTCGAGTCAGGCGGCTACTTCCTCTTGTCCTACCTTTTGTCCATCGTTATGCCCATGTTCTTTGTTGTCGCGTCCCTGAATTGTTTCGTGGTTGGTGAGTTGCTCCCGCAATGTAGTGCTCACTCTGGGATCTTATTCCGTCCACAGCGATGGCGATAGCAGGCTTCTACTCCCAAAACATGGTCTGCCGCACCCTGACCGCGCTCTGGTTGGTTATGTACGTTGTCAGCATTGGGATGATATTGATGGGACTTGTGTGGAAGTATGTGAACAACTCAAGTGGCGCTCATCTTGATTCCCACCCTTTTTCACCATACTGAACTACATAATGTGTAGATCTATAGGAAGTTATAGCCAAGGATGATGGTTTTCTCTACGGATGCTACCGATGTTCCACTCATGCCCGTTACCCCCATGAACCTTACGATACTCGTTGTAAATGCGTTGTCTTTGTTTTGCATTGTACTTGCTATGTTTTCGCTATGTTTCACAGTTTTTGAATGCCAACTTTATTTATAAGAGTACTATTTATCAGTGGATGAATAGTGACTTCCCGCAGCGTTTGGGCCATTGTTCTAAATCTAAATCTATGTTCTAAAGTCCTCCTGCCGATGTGCCGTCATCAAACGTCTGTCTTAAACACCCAATCTATTTCTATGTAAATGAAAGTCCGAAGTTCGTTAAAGTAGAGCCCTCCATTTAGTCAGGTAAGAGGGTGACAAGTTGCCCGGGAGGTGCTTGCGTGTTTGGTGGATGCGCGTCCCGGAGGTCTCAATACTTGTACGGTGAGTCGATGTGGAGAACGCAAGGTTGGAACATATGACATTACAGCTATTTTCATATCGATAGACCAGAATCTGGAAAACTCATTTAGCCGCTTTTGTTTGTTGTTGGAGCGACACCAAACAGAGGCGCGCACGCTAGCTACTTTTATGAATCTTTAACGTTGTGGGGCTTATGTGGCACTGCGGGGAGACCCTGGAATCGTACCGCACGCACTGACCTGCGACCAGCCGCACATGGTGCACCGTGGTTATTACACACTGCAAGTGACCTTGTCAAGCAAACGAAGCCCTCGCCATGCAAGACACTAGTACTGCAATGTTGTCAAAGGTAAGTTTTGCTCATTATCAAATGGGCCCCACTTAGTTTCTGCAACCCTGGCATTCTAGCGAGATCGTCGTCTCTTCGTCTCCGTCAACAACAATGGTTTTTGGATCATCTGACAATGTTGATCCATTGCGCAAATATATTTTACATACATGCTTGTGAGTCAATCCATGCCTATGTAGTGTTCGTTCGATGGTGGCAAGAGACGCCTCAATATCCCTCACCTCCTGTAGAGCACTTTGTAGTTCAGATAGAAATGTGTCAGGAGCGCGCCCGACACATGAAATAAGGTACTGTCACAGTTAGGTATTAAATTCAAAATACTTTTGTGCCTTCCCTTACTGCAACATCCTGTGCTGTAAGTAGATGAGGACGACCAATTTCCAGAGGTTTTCGAACGAAAGAGCCTGTGAGTTGTGAGAGCCGAAGAACTCGATTGACTGTTCGATGGCTGTATCCTGTCACTTGTGCGATGGCCTTCGATGTCATGCCATGTGTGGACATAACAACCCACTGCTGCTTCGCAGCATCTGGTATATGTCGCCGGTTTCTGTGCATGATGATGATGGTCGGCAGTCGTTGTGCTAGTATTCCACAAGCAAGTTATAAAAGTAGCTAGCGTGCGCGCCTCTGTTTGGTGTCGCTCCAACAACAAATAAAAGCGGCTAAATGAGTTTTCCAGATTCTGGTCTATCGATATGAAAATAGCTGTAATGCCTACGTATGTTACACTATTGAAGGAGCATACGATTTTATCGAGACGGATCTGCCAGTTCCTCTTTGTTCCTCGTCCGAATCCTGATATTCTGACTATCCACACGTGCTGCAGGTTTCGATCGGAAGTCTAAGTCGCCACTGTGAAGTTCCTAACTCCGTAGCTAGACGCTATCAGTTGACGGAGCTGTGGATGACAGAGAGCTACTTTTAGTCAGCTGAATCGTTGTAAGAGGGTGACATAAGCAGATGGAGAAGGTTCTTGAAGTTGCCCGGGAGGTTGCTTGGGACGCGCGTCCGGTCTTTATAATCTCTAAAGTCGACCACCGCCAACAACACTGAAGATGACCACCAACGAGCAACTTCTCGGCCTTGGAACTCCCTGCTCATACCCGCATTGCTCACTCCTAGATTTCCTCCCCTTTAAATGTCCTCATTGTCCGGACTCTCCCTCTTTCTGCGCAGAGCACTTCCACCCACACTGTACAACAGCACACGCTAACCTAGACCGTGTAGCACCAAACTGCCCTCTATGCAGCGTTCCCGTTGCTATCCCGCCCGGCGAAGATCCGAACGTGCGCATGGAGAGACATATCAGCCGTTTCTGCGAGGCGATGAATGCTACTGGTAGACAGCGGGGCAAGGGCGGGAGCAAGATATGCGCTAGAGGAAAGTGCGGCAAGGTTCTCTTTGCCCCCATAGGGTGTGATGTGAGTCCAACGTTCGTTGGGTGCGCTGATACTAACGATGATCGTACAGAAATGTCAGAAGGAGTTCTGTCCCCAGCACCGTTTCCCAAAGGACCATACCTGTCCCTCTCTCACTTCTGCCTCGAAGCCATCTTTAAGACCCAGTCCTGTATCCGTCACTCCCAGTTCATCATCTGCCAAATCCGCACCTCTCCCTTCATCTAAACCAACACTGCCACTCTCCTCGAAGCTTTCCATCCCAGTCTCCCTCTCAGTCCCAAACGTATTCTCAAAGACTGACCGGTGAGTACACGTCCCCCTTCTCCTTCTCAGTATCCACTCATAACGCATCAGCATTTCTTCTGTACCTCCTCCTTCACCCACAACTAAACCACCCTCTCCCATCATCTCTTCCATCCGCAAATCCCCCCTCCTCGATCCAATGGCTTTCATCCCCCCACCTATCTTCGCATCTGCTTAATCCTACCACTACACCACATCTAATGTCACTGTATCAACCATCCATGTATCCTTATCTACAGACGCGCAAAGGAGGAACGCGAGAGCAGACGCAAAGCCATGACAGACCGCGCCAAGAGAGGTCTCCTCACAGAAGAAGAGAAACTCATCCTCGCTCAACAAGAAGCCGCACGCGCTCAGGAGCAGGAGCGCAGAAAGGGGGATAAGGAGTGTCTTGTCATGTAGCTTTACCCTGACTTTGGACCTTTTATACCACACGGATCTACCACACCACCGATCGTATATCGTAAACCCGTCTCTACTTGGATTGCCACAACTACTAATAACACACCTTGGTGCGTCTGCGACTAAGTCTTGGTGCTTGCCCTTGGCAAATTAAAGCGGAGTTAAAGAGCTCACTCTTCACTATAATTCTTACCCTCACCACTGCCCGCCGCGATATCAAAAGGAATATTAATGCTGATTTTGAGGCTGACATCTCCGGGTGGTTATAACCGGGCCATGTCAACCTCAACTTCCTCATCCCTTTCATCCGTTTTTATCCCCTTCGTGCGCTCGCTCATCTTTCTCGTTCGGTGCAATCAGGATCGTGGACAACAACAGGGTGGATATAGCACCCACTGCTTCTTTCACAAGAGGACACTAGCAAGCACTACTAAATACTGAAGGCTCACCAGACTTGTCTTCAGTGTCTGCAGAATCCAGATGTTTCTCCCGACCCCGATGCAGCTACGACTGATTTGTTGGATACCCTCATTTTCACCACACCTCCACCAGGTGAAGTCCTCGCAGAGGCCAGGGCTCTCTTCGATAAGATACCAACTTGACCTCATATCCTCTGTCTGACGTACCTTCCAGCCCCCGGGGCCTCGCTGGAAAATTCAAATTCAATATCGCACTTACACCATGTCTCTCCTACATATTTCGCACGCGAGTATTGAAACAGCCAAGCGCACGATCGAACTCCACCTCGGGGGACGTTGAACATTCTGTTTTTCGACTCGGAGCAGAAGGGGCTCAGAGTCATGCCAATGATACTCATGGTGGGCTATTCAGAAGAAACGACGTCATCCAGAGCTGCACTACGTGCAAACATGCCAAAGAGAGCTGACGACATCGAATAGCGCCAGTGACGGACCCGAGTGCTTCGCCTACACAGCAATTAACCTGTGAAGCGAACACGAGGATGACGCATGGGACGGACCTCAAAAAGTACCTGCAAATATCGCTTGAATTCTTGAATAACTTGGACTAACGCCTGCATACATATTCCCAAAGCCATCTTGTAGGTCAGGATCGACTTGTCGTGAGCAACTCGTGCGCTTCTAGTTGAAGACCATCCCGTCAACTCACCAACAATATTTGCCTTGGCAGATATCCCGTTCTACTTAAAAGTTCCCGACAGGCTTCTCTGATTCACGTACTTAGTCCACGACTCCAAGCGCCGATCATGTCTTCCTCGACCAGTAATAAGCAACAGACGCCAGGGATCGTACCCCGACAGACGATGCGAGGCCATACGGACTGGGTAACTGGTGTTGTACACCTGCCTGGCGGACAACGCATCATGACAGGTTCAAAGGACAGCTCG